TTTTTAAGATCAATTTAAAAATAATAATTATCTTTTTTATTGGCATCTGTTTCTGAAGGGATACAAAAGCATCTTGGCTATTTCCTGTACTTTTCTATATACACAGAGAAGGATACAGATAAGCCTTGTTATGTGGGCCAGGTACAGAAACCCAGGTGCGGAAACTCAGGTACGGAGACTCAGCAGGGCAGGAAGCCCGGGATGCCTAGCAAGGGGCAAACCTGGGAAAGCAAGAACCTTGTCCCCAGGGTAACCTATCCGCCCCAGCATATGTCTGGTCATGCGGTTTAGACCCCCTGAGCATTCCTCCCTAAAGATAACATCTAGGCCTCAGTTGTATTTCAGCTCCAGGCCCAGAAAAGCAGCAAAACCAGACAAGTGGCACCGTGGCTGCCTCAGGACCTAGATACACTGACTAATGACCCCCTGCCCTGGCACTGACCAATCAGTGGAGGCCATGACCCTGAAAGAGCACACCTGGAAAGCTGATGAATATTCTACTGAGACCCTCCCCTGAGGCCTCTCCTAAGATTCAGGCATGCAAGAAAGAGATAAATATCCAGTGGGAAGCCACCAGCACCATCCCTATCCCTCCAAGGGGACCCCATGAGACTTGCAACCAGGGGAGCAGTGGGCAGCGGCAGCTCATCTCTGGCTTACCCCTGCACCTGTCTCCGAGGCCCCCATGACTGCCCTCTTTCTCTCTCCGACATGCATGAGCCAGAGCAGCCCAGCCTAGTCTCTCCTGTTGCCTCTTCTATGCTCTTCCTTGTCTCACTGTCCCAAGTATATTTTTGCTGCCATCATGGACCCAATACCCTTTGGCTCAGTGCAGTGTAGCCCTTCCCTTTGGATACCCATCCCCTTTTAATAAATTCAATTTTTCTTTATTCGCCCCTCTGAGATGGCTATTTAGCCCACACACCACCAACTTCTAGCATGATATGAGAAGATTTTCCCTACTGGCATTTTTGCTGTCTTGCCTCATGATTCTGTGTTGCCCTGACCAGACAGTGGCCTGTTCCCAAAATCAGAACTTCCACCCCTCATCTTTCCTTCAGTCACGACTCTGGTGGATGAGCACACGGGAGGCGGTGCCAATGGACCTAATGAATACACCAAGTCTTCATTGTCGATTGTGTGTGTAACAATGTGGCCTGTGCTTGCAGCAACAGTGGGGTTACAAGAGGCTGACAAAGCCTGCCAGCTAAAACCAGGCAATGATGGTTTCCCCAATTTACAGGGGAAAATTAACCTAGATAGAAGTTGTCAATTTTAAAGCTTTTACCTTTATAAATTTTTCTTAAACTCTGACCTTATAAACAAATCTGGGATGACATAATGTATAATAAAGACAGCTAACACTTCACTGTCCTTTCTAGGCACTGTGTCAAGCATTTTATATATATTAACACATTTAATTCTCACAACAACCCTATGGGAATACTATTATTATCCCCATTTTACAGATCAGGAAACTGAGGCACTGAAAGGGCAAGTAACTTGCTCAAAGTTCACACAGCTGGGAAGTGTGCAGTCAGGAACATAAACCCAGGCAGGCTGGCTCCAGAGTCCCCTCACTTACCCCACCTCATCACACTGCCATTTAATCTAGCACTAAATTATATCTTTAAATTATTATATGCTTATTATGTCAATATTCATAGAGTTCTGTAAGCCACAATCAGGGTTCCACGGCTCCGTCCCTGGTGCTGGAGGAACAGCCTGGATTGGGCTGGGTTTGAACCTAGCTCCACCTCCTACACGCTGGGTAACATCAGGCAGTTTGCTAACCTCTCTGAGTTTCCTGAGGAAATCACAGGGCTCCAATGAGGAAGGAACACGGCGATTCACATAAAGTGCCTGAGCCGATGCCTGACCGGGTGTTTTGAACCCAGGTGTCTGACTCTGGCAGTTTTGTTCCGCCATCTATTTATTTGTTGATCCATTTGGCAAACACCAGATGGAGAAAGAGGCTGGTTTGCACTGCAGCTTCCAGATTAATGTTCTTTTCTTTCCTCTTTTCCCTCTAGAGAAGAGAAATGACCTCCAAATAGAGCCAAATGTGATTATCACCCATCATATAACTGGTAAAACAGTCTACAGAATTTCAGAGCAATTAGAGAGTAGCAAGAGAGAAGGCTGAGTGGTAGGCAGGGTCAGACTAAGTAGGCCTTGAGTGGCAGGAAAGAGTTAGGATTTTGTTCAACGGACAATGCAGAAATCACTAAAACTTTTTATCAGAAGTCATATAATCAAAAATGCTCTTTGAAGTTTAAATATTTAGATTGTGCCTAAGATTACTGAAAGATGTAAGTTGGGAGGCTGCTGCAACAGCTGGGCAGGAAGCAGTGAGCCAGGGTGAAGTGTAATGGGAGGGCGTCCCTCCCCAGGCTGTAAGAAAGAGGGCACACTGCCGGCACCCGCACCCACAGACTTGGGGTGTGGCCCCGCCCCGTTCACACCTTGACCAAGTCTGACCTCCCCGCCTTTGCCCACCACTCTGCCATCTGCTTCTGCCCCAACTCTATACTCGCCCTTTGTTTCCCCCAGTTCCCCAGCCTTTGCCTCACTCACCCCTTTGACTTGTCTACCCACTCCTGCTTAATTCCCACAGCTCAGTGACCCCAGTGCACTGCAGAGGATCACCCCCACTCCACTGCAGAGGATCACTGGACTCCAGCCCCCCCCC